AAGAAATATTGTTTTAATCTAAATCTCTATTCCATTTTTACATTACCGATAATTATATATATGACTTTCTTTTCAAATTAATTGGTTGATTAGAATATAATTTCATAATTATAACATTGCCAAATATGAAACCTTCAAGAACACCACAAAAACACCAAAATTCAATGATTGTTTTCGTATTCAAATAACTTATTCTATCGGCAACCTAACAAGAACAACTAAGTTTACTTACCAATTTCATTAAACAATAGAAGGTACCAATACGCAATAGGGGTTGAAATTCCAATAGACTTATTGGAGGGTCCCATTGGTGCTCATCCAGTAGGAATTGAACCTACGAATTCGCCAATTATGAGTTGGGCACTTTAACCATTCAGTTATGGATGCTTAGCGGCCTACTTGTTAAGACCTAGGACTCCTTCTTCCTAGTATTATTACGTCTTCCAAACTTTTATATAATGCCTCTCTCATTCAACATTGAGGTATGACTTTAAGAAACGAAAATTCATTATTTTGAGAAAGCTTTTTTGAGAGATATTGTTCAGAAAGTCATTCTGATCTTTTTTATTTTTATTTTTGAGAGCACATACATATATACACGAGTGATTTAGTTGTATTGTTCTCTTTCTCATCTGAATTGAAGATTCAAAGATTCCGAAAAAGCATTTCTATTTCTTGTACATCAAATTTAGATTTTGAAGAAAATGGGTGAAGTGATCACACTTTGAAATGATCGAATGCTGAGAAGTGTTGTTTGATCTATCAGCAATCCTTCTACAGAGATAAAGAATAAGTCTGAGGTCAAGTGATATTAGACGGGACGTCGTAAGGCCAGAGGATTGTCAGCAATTGGTTTTTGGTACAACGATAGGATGTGAGCCTGAGTCAAAGTTCAGTGTACTTTGTTTTCAACATAGTGGATCGTTTTGCTCTAGATTGCACAGTCCACAAGGTTTTTTCCACAACAATTGGTCTATTTTGCCAATTGGGGTTTCCTCACTAAAAATCCTGGTATCATCTCTCAAACTCTATTTGCTTTACTTTTTAATATTTATTTTTTGTAATTATGGATATTAAATTGATTATATTGCTTAGGTAAATTAATTAATCACAAAACTTAGACAAGTTGACCTATTAATCTGATCTAGGTCATTTGGAAAGTTAATCACAAAAAAATCAACCAACAGTTTCCGCGCCGTGTAACTTACACTTTATTCTAAATCAAGTCCCAAAACTTCCTTCACATTGCCTTTGCAAGAAGTTGGCCGAGAGATACTCTGTTTGGTACTGATGCTTCTTTTCCTTTTCCTTTTCCTTTTCCTTTGTAGTTTGTCTGTTCTTTTTTGTTTTGCCAAATAATGAGAACAATTGAAGCTTGTTTAACACTATGATAGTAGTCTGCAGCTACATACATACATGATCATTATGAAAATCATAGTCATGTATCATAGTTCACTTGGAGTGTTATGAAATGATTGATTTTATTGCAGAGAGGGTCATCGCGTGTGTTAATTGGATGAATTTGGCACGGAGGGAGAGTGAGGGTGTAGAGATCGAGAGTTACTCCGAATATGAATATTTGAGGCAATGTTGTTTCTTATTGCTTCTTATTAGTGCCTAGTTACGGATTTGTGAGGCAAATTTAAAGAGTGACCCAATGCAGCTTCAATATTGATTATCTTCATCATAATTTTATAAAATATTTGTTCTACAGTCCCAACATTTAGAATTTTCCGTCTATATAATTTTCTTCTCGGATTACTTTAATTGAACATAATTTTATAAAATATTGTTCAATATCAAAGGATGCCGCCACCTTCCATAAGCCCCACAAAACCACCAAAAGTCAATGATTTCATCTGTGTTTGATCAGATCAACTCCTATTATGAATTACATATTCTGCCGGCCACATTAAACAAATATATATATATATATATATATATATATATGAAATCATATATAATCTAACAAGGAGTGGTGTTTAAAAAATAATGGTAGGTTACAAGTAATACAAAGTAAACCTACCAATTTCATTAAACAATAGAAGGTTATGAAAACTAACTAAAATTCACCGTGTTCAAATATTCTTTTGCTTTCGTTGCAAAGTAATTGTTAAATTCATGAAATAAGCTGTCAGAATAAATTTTCCATGTGTCACGCTCCTTTGATACATAATTTTATAAATATTATCTTTACCTGTATAACATATTCTGCCAGCCAAACAAGACAAAATGTATATATATATTGTAATCCCGCGGTGTCAATGACCACCTCATTCTTACGACTCCTTCCTCCCACATTCTCTATAGTTATTATATTCAGCTTGTGGTTCTAACAAATAAACCAAATTTGGGCCATAGACCACTACCTAGTATCGTTTGGGTCTCTATTGGTATTTCACATTTTCCTTTTTCTCAATTATATTTTCAAATTAAGAAAAAAATTAAATATGCGGTGTTAAGTTGTGCTGTTAAAAAAGAAAATAAATAAAATGTAACAATAAGCATTTGTATTAATCGATTTTTATTTTTTATTTTTTATTTTTCATGCAATATATTGCAGTAAAACATGGTGCCTAAATAATGTATTTCACATTTAATGCGGTTACAATAATTAAAGTTTTGGATTCACCTATTAGTGACTTTAAAATTGAGGAATTTCCCGTTTAATTTTTCTCTAGACATTCTTATTTATTCATTTAATATTGTTTCATTAAGATTTAGTTTATGCATATTTAGTAAGATTCCTTTAATTCTTTTTTTTTAACAAGGCAACGGGCTAATTGATTTTCATCAAGGCTGAATGAATTGCGCGAAGAGGAGAGAAAGAGAGAACTATGAATTGCACAAAAGGTAGAGAAAGAGAGATCTATGAGAAAATCAACCAAAAAAATTTTCATATTAAAAAGAAAAAGAAAGAATTTCTCATATGCAATTTATTCAAATCTCAAAGGCGGTCTAATTTACCCTTAATATTTCGTTCCATTTATTAAAACTCTCACTGTTTTACCATTCCTCTCTCCAGGTATCTTTTATTTTTATTCCATGGTACCAATGCCACTGATGATGAAATATTTACTGAAAATAATACTGTAGTTATAGGTCATAGAAAAGAAAGAAAAGGTTTTCATGACATGACAAGAAATATTGTTTGAATATAAATCTCTATTCCATTTTTACTTTACCGATAATTATATATATAACTTTCTTTTCAAATTAATTGGTTGATTAGAAAATAATTTCATAATTATAACATTGCCAAATATGAAACCTTCAAGAACACCACAAAAACACCAAAATTCAACGATTGCTTTCATATTCGAATAACTTATTCTGCCGGCAACCTAACAAGAGTGTTTAAATAATGAGGACAACTAAGTTTACCTACCAATTTCATTAAACAATAGAGGGTATGATAACTAAAATTCAAATATTATTTTGCCTTCGTTGAAAAGTTATTGCTAAATTCATTGGCATTTAGTATACCTCTTGCTTTTTGTTTAACAAAATTGTCTTTTATCATAGTTTGCTAGGAAATTATCTGAAATTCCTTCTGGCTTTTACTTACTGAAATTCATACTAAGATTGGGAGAAATAAAGAAGATCAAAGAGAATGGCTGAGAGTGCAGTAGTAGCTTTTCTGCTCAATCACTTGGACATCTTCCTTCAACAAGAGTCAAGCCTCTTGGGAGGAATAAGGGAAGAAGCTGAGTCCATCAGAGATGAATTGGTGCGCATGAGGGCTTTCCTCAGAGTAGCTGATGAAAAACAAGATATTCACCCACGGCTCCAAGCGTGGGTTGACCAAGTTCGTGATGTTGCCCATGACACCGAAGATGTGCTTGACGAATTCATGCTCCGCTTCTCACGTTATCACGGGGATGGATTCTATGGTTTTCTTCGTAAGATTTCTTGCTCCATTAAGAACTTGAAAGCACGCTGTCGAATTGCTTCTCGGATACACAGAATCAAGTGTAGAGTGAATCAAATTGCCGAGGGTCATCAAAAACTACAGCACGGTCTCAGAGCAAGGCTCGACCTCCACCACTGTCAACAACACATGGTATGATAGTGGAGGTGATGCACTCCTACTGGAAGAAGCTGAGCTTGTGGGCATGGATGGGCGCAGGAAGCTGCTGATTGGGTGGCTTGTGGAGGACACTCCCAAACTCAAAGTTGTTTCTGTGGTGGGGATGGGGGGTTTGGGGAAAACCACCCTAGTAAAGAAAGTCTATGATGATAAGGAGGTGAAGAATCATTTCCAATGCCATACTTGGATCACTGTTTCTCAATCATTTAATCTCAGAGAACTTCTCCAAGATGTAATTCGGAAACTCTTCGATGAAGCCAAGCAACAGGCCCCTCAAAGATTGGAAACCATGGACGAGAACAACTTGAAAGCGGAAATCAAAGATTTCCTTCAACAGAGAAGGTACGTGCTTGTTTTAGATGACGTATGGCAAATACAAGCATGGGATGCTTTTAAATATGCATTCCCTGACAACAATAGTGGCAGCCGAATACTGCTCACGACCCGTATTGTTGGTGTAGCTTCTACGTCTTGTGTAGAATCTCCTGATCACATCTATACAATGAAACCATTGTCTCCAGAAGAGTCTTGGACTCTGTTCTGTAGGAAGACATTCCAAGGCAACCACTGCCCTCAACATTTAGAGGAACTCTCACGAAGTATCTTAGAAAAGTGTGAGGGCTTGCCACTTGCAGTTGTGGCAGTTAGTGGTGTTTTGGCTACGAAAGACAAAAGTAGAGTGCGTGATTGGGAATTGTTTCATCATAGCCTTGGTGCTCAGTCAGAAGGCCACGACAAACTTGAGAGTATGAAAAATATACTCTCTCTTAGTTACTATGATTTGCCTTAATATCTAAAATTATGTTTCTTGTATTTGGGTTTATTTCCCGAGGATTACGAGATTCAGCGCATGAGAGTGATTCGACTATGGATCGCAGAAGGATTTGCGGAAGTGAGAGTGGGATAGACAATGGAAGAAGTTGCTGAAGTCTATCTCAATGAGCTTATTAATAGAAGTTTGATCCAAGTGGCAGAGATAGATAGTATTGGAAGGCTTAGAGATTTTCGAATCCATGACCTTTTCCGTGAAGTAATTACTTCAAAGTTGAGAGAACAAAACATTGCTGCCAAAGTAAGCAAAGGAAGCACAACATGTCGGGAAAAAGTTCGCCGCCTATTAATTAAGTATAGCTTGGGGAACTTGCAGCATACAAATCGTTTTCCTCAACTCCGTTCCTTGCTCATGTTTTCGGTGGAAGAACCTATATCCAAGTTGATGCCTATATTATTCAATGGTGGGGTTAGGTTGTTAAAGGTTTTGGACCTGAGGGGTGCTTCTTTGAAGATACTTCCAAATGAAGTTGGCAAACTATTTCATCTCAGGTATTTAAGCTTGAGGAGTACAGAGGTTGAAACGCTTCCGAAATCCATAGGTAAGCTTGAAAACCTTGAAACTTTGGATCTCAAACGCACCCATGTAATTGAGTTGCCTGTTCAGATCTTAAAGCTCCAGCGTCTTCGTCATCTCTTGGTGTACAACCCCGTCCACCATATTGACAATGGCTTTAAAGCGATGGTGGGAATAGGAGGATTGTCTTCCTTACAAAAACTTTGTTATATTCAAGTGAACCATGAGAATGGTGGAATTGTAATGGGAGAGCTAGGGAGACTGACCCAGCTGAGGAGATTGGGGATTAGGGACTTGAGAAGGGAGGATGGGAAGGCTTTGTGCTTCTCTCTTGAAAAGCTGAGTGACCTTCAATCATTGAACGTAGCTTCTGTAGAATGGAGGAATGGGATTGTTGATATTCAACACTTGTCTTCTCCTCCTCGATCTCTTCAACGGCTCTATTTGTGGGGAGGTTTAGAAAATTTTCCGCATTGGATAACTTCTTTTCATAACCTGGTGAAATTGTGGCTTCGGTATAGCAAGTTAAGGGATGATCCATTGCAATCCCTTCAAGATTTGCCCAATCTGATAGAAATTGGACTTGTTGATGCTTACCAAGGGGAGGAACTGTGTACCAAAGCGACAGGGTTTCAGAAGCTTAAGACATTAGAGCTTCAACGTTTAGAAAGATTGAGGTGGTTGAGAATGGAGAAGGGATCATTGCCTCATCTTGAAAAGCTGATTATTTGGAACTGTGAGTTGTTGGGAGAGGTACCCACTGGCTTTCAACATCTAACCAACCATAGACCTCGATGGGTCCTTTAGCTAATGTTTTGTTTTTATTTTATTTTTATGGATAACTGATGGTATTGTTCTTTGGGATTATTACATATAAATGAGGTTAGGGCTCCATATTTACTAAGAGGCTGAGTCAAAGTCAAGTATTTCTCTAAAATGTGTTTGACCCAAAAGCTGAGGTGGCACATGAAAAAATACGATTTATAATGTGTGTTATCTAAAATGCCCTTCTTCCTATTTTATGTGTTGCCTAAAATGCCCTTTTCTATAATGACCTAATTGAAGCCCTAAAGCGCCTCTTTCATATTCCATTCGTGCAGGCAGCCCTCAGTCTTCCCCCTTCTCTGTAAAACGATCAACAAACCCCTAACCCTAACATTCCATTCGTTCAAGCAGACTTTTTTAGAGAGGGTTTTCAAAGAATCCCCAATTCATTCTTATCCCCTTTTCATAGAGTTTGAGGGTGAGGGAGAGCACATTTTTAGAGGGAATGTATCGATTTTTAAGAAAAATTCCCTAATCACAAGTTGTTTGTGCTAATTCCAACCCATTCAAGAGAGCGCCATCACTGCCAAACACTGCAAAATGACGAACTATCGGTGAGTTATAATTTTTTCCAATTTTGATTTATGAGTAATTTGTCTCTTCAGTTAATAATTTTTTGTTTTTTTTTTTTTTTGTTTTTTTGACTCTTGAATCTTAAAGAAGCCCACCGTAATGGGATTGTCAAAGAGGTTGATCACGATCATGTAGACAACAGTACTCGTGAGGTAATTTAAATTATTCTCCTAATTAGGTTTTTGGGAAATTCAAGTGCCTTATTTCTAATTTTTTAACCAAATGGCCTTTATGTCCTGAATGGATTATATTGCAGAATTCTCTGCTATCTTACTACTCGCTCTGTGTCGACTCATCACCTTATAAGTCTTCACCCATGCTTGGTGCTTTCAGTACTGGTGAGGTAGGTTAAATTATTATATTTATGCCTTAATTGTTTGCTTTCACTCTTACGTTTTGGGGAAATTCAAGTGCGCCTTATTTCTATTTTTTTAACCCACTTTCCATGAGATTTGTTCCGTGTGCATCCTATCTCCTTTAAGCCTTTATGTCTGGTATAAATTCTTGAATAGGCTATATTGCAGACTTCTCTGGTATCTTATTACTCACCCTGTGTGGACTCATCACCTGAGAAGTCTTCACTCATGCTTACTGATACATTTGCTTTCCTTTGTTGTGTTATTTATAATTTTCCTAAAAGTAACTTAGTGATAGAATGGAATTAACATGGTGAAAAACTGAAAAAAAATAATATTAAATAATATTAGTTCTTGTTGTCTTCTTTGTTTGTGTGTGTGTCATCACACTCTAAAGCCTGCATATCTGTAGCAGAATATGTGTTGTGACTTTGCTTTCCTTTGTTACTATCTCAATCCATGTTAAGTTTTATCTTGTCCTTCCCTTTGCATTGTCTTCAATGTGGACCATGTCACTTTTGTCGCGTATGTAGTTTTTTTTTTTTCTAGTTGCATATGTAGTTATTGGTAACCAACTTAATCATTTTTTTATTTTATTTTATCTTATTCCCAATGTGTGTTGCTTCATTTGTCTCAACTCTCATGAATGCATTGCCAGGAAAGAAAAACCATCTGAAAATTGTATTTATTCCTAATTTTATTCGTTCTTGTGTTAGCAAGCATTTTCTCAATATTTGCATTTCTCCACACTCCATCTATGAACATGTTTGTTAATCACCCCTCATTCCATCCTATAAATTATGTATGGCTTATATAATAATTTTTTTAGTTTTAAAGGTATACGTCAACTACACATAAAAAAGCACTCCCCCACTTAATGTATCTTGTTTTAAATTCTGTAAGGAATGTCATCTTCAATTTGTCCTTCTATATGAACAATAAAGCCTAGGTAATGAAATTATTCGCATTTTAGTATCTAATAATTTTCAAATTTTGCTTTATCTTCATCTGTATTCCTAGTTTAAGTAAATTTACATTACAAAAATTTAGTTCTATTTTCTAGAATTTCTTTCAATACCTATAATTAGACTGTCCTTACATTAGTTCCATCAATCAAAATAATAGCACCAGTAAATGGTATGTTCTAAGTAATTTCAGCTTAATGTATATTTTCAGTTCATACATAACTAAGACAAAAGATAACGTCTCCATACTGATCCATGATGTAAAGTTATAGTAATTAGAAAGTCACTTGTTTTCCCCCCATATTTTCTCATTATAGTCACAATTCCATTATATGTGTCTTTTATATGTTAATATGTGCTATTTATTACTTTTTCCCTTTTCTAAGATACGTCATGTTACATTTCTTAAGACCCTATCACCAACTTCCAAGAAATCTTTAAAAATCATAGAAAGATCTTTCTTATTCTAGCTAAAGCTTTCTATTAGTCTTTCCACTAGCTAAACCATTTCCATTGTTGACCTTCTTAGCATAAAGCCACATCTGATTAGCACATCACTCACTCCCTAATCACTTACAATATTTTTGACAACTACCTACACCACCAGAATATCACTTCTCCATTTCTGGTTGAAACCCCATCACCATGGCCACCATCCACCATCCACCATCCTAATTGTTTGCTAACAACTCCATTAAAACTCACCACTCTGACATTTGTAGATAACCATCAGTTCATCACAATCAACCTTACTGAAACCTAATTGCATAACTGTCATTGTCTATCCCATATTCACACCATGACAATCAAATTCACTTCCATAACCCTCCCACCTCCATTACCACCTCTCTCTAAAATTTCTTTTTTCCCCCCTTTCTCCAAAATTTCCATTTTCCTTTTCTAAGTTCTCTAAAATTGTTACTCTCTTCCTATTGAGATGTTCTATAGACTCTTTTATTCTCTCTCTAAAATATCAGCAATTATGTCAAAGTACATCTATCCTCTTATTCTCTCTTTAAAAGTCAGTACCTTCTACTGAAATTTATTGTGATACTTCGTTCTCTTTAAAATATTTGTTTCTCTAAAATTCTAGCAACTCCATCCAAATCTTTTGGCAACTTTTTCTCACTTTAACATTTTATTACTATCTCGGTAAAATTACAAAAATTCTCTTGATTCTTCTTAAATTTTTCAGGATAGCTCTTACTTTTTCAGGTATTGTTGTAATTGGCTCCTGACTCTGGTATTGTTGTAATTAGAGACATCATAGAGCATTCCTTGGCAGATTATCCTGTTAATTTAAGTTTTTCATGCGTTTCACCTATCTTTTAGCTTGTTTACAGCCTACAAAATGGCTGATCTCATACTTAAAAAAGTCTCCTTACAGTGGGCAGTCTAAGCTTTCACCATGTCACCTGACCCATTTTTTTCATCAAATTATATATATATATATATATATATATATATATATATATATATATATATATATAAAGTAGCATTTTGAATACTAAAGAGTTGAACTATCACAAAAATATACTAGGCCACGTAGAAATTCCCACATGTTGAAGAACCAGTTGGCTGGTAATTGTCCCTTCCACTTCCAGAACCTTTTCTCCTTTTGCTGATCGAAATACAAAAAGGAGAGATGACCCTGATTGGGTCTTCAATTTTCTTATCGCCCTTTAAGAAAGATAAAAAAATTAATATTTAGAAGTTGGATTTGATGTGACCTTATTTATAAATTCATGATAAGATAAATTATTCAAGCTTGAAACTTGAACGAAGACTCAAGAAAACGTCATCAGAATATCTCCCATCAGTTAACTGGACTCATGTACACTTATTTTGTGAAAGTAACATGTATGTGTGAGATTTGTCAAACCACCAAATTACAAATTCTGAGTTTCAATAAGAGTATATCCAAAGAAAACAAGGGTTGAAGTAGTTTTCAGTTTAGCATACATTTGCCAGTTTGAAGAGAGCCTTGAACTCCTAAGCATGCTAACTCCATTTTCTTTCTTTAATTCTTTGTTTCTGATGCACACTTTCTTATTTCTTTACATTAGAATAGCCTTCCTTAATTGATAATTATAGTAATATAAAATCTAAAGCATGTAGTTCCTATTTTGCAGCAGAACTACTGCATAAGACTTAGCTTAAATGAAGACTTGACATTTAAATTTGAATATCTGTGTCATGATTATTTTTAAAATTATTATTATTCAAAGTTTCGAATTGTCTGTTTTTATATTGCTTTTGTTCCTTATTATTATTATACAATGCCTTAATACCTTAATTTTTATTGTATGTGACAGTCACAGAGACAAAGTGGTTCTTTTGTTCCAACTACACACAGAGACAGAAAGAATGCATGTCCATCAAATACACAAACAAGAGGACTTTCACTAGGACCACACAAAGGAAAAGAGCCACAAATTGGTTTACCACAGAACAAGGAAATACATACTTGTATTGGTCCAATTGGGAGCTAGAGGAAGTGGGATAGGAAGATCTCAGAATCCAAAAAGTACGTGAAATGATGTGGGATATGGGACATTTGTAATGTTAAACAGTGTCATTTTTTTTGCTGGTATTTTGCAATCTGTTGCTGTTAGCTATTTTCTAAGTTTTAAAGAAGAGTAGTTTTTGCAACTTTTGATTGTGGATCAGGTTGGTATGTTTTTGCAATCATATATTGTATGGCTTATTATACTGGCATCTACCTTCGATCGAATCAAATGAAGTTACTCTTTTGGGTTTTCATGAATTAGTATTGCATAACTTATTATACTAGGATCTAACTAAATTTTCTTCGACTATTACATGAATGTACTATAAGAAAAACACAAAATAACCCAAAATATTCTTCAAGCTAGCTAAGTGAGTGTTTAGAAAACATGGTACCTGGAAGCCAAAAAGTAGTACCTTCAGTTTAAAAATGTGGTACCTTCGCAAAAGGGACTTATTTTTGCAATTGAAAATGGTATTACACCACACACCGCTAATTAGGTTACACATTAGATTAATAAACAGCTCCATTAGGGCCATGAATAACATAATATATTCTCCAAGCCAGTTAAGCAAGTGTTTAAAAAACATGGTACCTGGACGCCAAAAAAAAGGGACTTATTTTTGCAATTGAAAATTGTATTAAACCCCACACCGCTAATTAGGTTACACATTACATCTATAAACAGCTCCATTAGGGCCATGAATAACACAAAATATTCTCCAAGCTAGCTAAGCGAGTGTTTAAAAAACATAGTATCTAGATGCCAAAAAATAGTACCTTTAGTTCAAAAAATATGGTACCTTTGGAAACAAAGTGGTACATTCACAAAGGGACTTATTTTTCCAATTGAAAATGGTATTACACCCCACACCACTAATTAGGTTGCACATTAGATAAATAAACAGCTCCATTAGGGCCATGACTAACACAATATATTCTCCAAGCTAGCTAAGCGAGTGTTTAAAAAACATGGTACCTGGACGCCAAAAAAAGGAACTTATTTTTACAATTGAAAATAGTATTAAACCCTACACCGCTAATTAGGTTGCACATTACATCTATAAACAACTCCATTTGGGCCATGAATAACACAAAATATTCTCCAAGCTAGCTAAGCGAGTGTTTAGAAAACATAGTACCTGGACGCCAAAAAGTAGTACCTTTAGTTCAAAAACATGGTACATTTGGAAAAAAAGTAGTACCTTCGTAAAAGAGACTTATTTTTGCAATTGAAAATGGTATTACACCCCACACCGCTAATTAGGTTACACATTACTTCTATAAACAGCTCCATTAGGGCCATAAATAACACAAAATATTCTCTAAGCTAGCTAAGCGAATGTTTAAAAAACATGGTATCTGGACGCCAAAAAAAGGGACTTAATTTTGCAATTGAAAATGGTATTAAACCCCACACCACTAATTAGGTTGCACATTACATCAATAAACAGCTCCATTAGGGCTATGAATAACACAAAATATTCTCCAAGCTAATTAAGCGAGTGTTTAGAAAACATGGTACCTGGACGCCAAAAAGTGGTACCTTTAGTTCAAAAACATGGTACCTTCGGAAAAAAAAGTGGTACCTTCGCAAAAGGGGCTTATTTTTGCAATTGAAAATAGTATTAAACCCCACACCGCTAATTAGGTTGCACATTACATCTATAAACATCTCCATTACGGCCATAAATAACACAAAATATTCTCCAAGCTAGCTAAGGGAGTATTTAAAAAATATGGTATCTGGACGCCAAAAAGTGGTACCTTTAGTTCAAAAACGTGGTACCTTTGGAAAAAAAAATGGTACCTTCGCAAAAGGACTTATTTTTGCAATTGAAAATAGTATTACACCACACACCGCTAATTAGGTTACACATTAGGGCCATGAATAACACAAAATATTCTCCAAGCTAGCTAAGCGAGTGTTTAAAAAATATGGTACCTGGACGTCAAAAAAAGGGACTTATTTTTGCAATTGAAAATGATATTAAACCACACACCGCTAATTAGGGTGCTCATTACATCTATAAACAGCTCCATTAGGGCCATGAATAACACAAAATATTCTCCAAGTTAGCTAAGCGAGTGTTTAAAAAACATGGTACCTGAACGCCAAAAAAATGGACTTATTTTTGCAATTGAAAATGATATTAAACCACACACCGCTAATTAGATTTCTCATTACATCTATAAACAGCTCCATTAGGGCCATGAATAACACAAAATATTCTCCAAGCTAGCTAAGCGATTGTTTTAAAAACATGGTACCTGGACGCCAAAAAAAGGAACTTAATTTTGCAATTGAAAATGGTATTAAATCCCACACCGCTAATTAGGTTGCATATTACATCAATAAACAGCTCCATTAAGGCTATGAATAACACAAAATATTCTCCAAGTTAGATAAGCGAGTGTTTAGAAAACATGGTACCTGGACGCCAAAAAATGGTATCTTTAGTTCAAAAAAATGGTACCTTTGGAAAAAAAGTGCTACCTTCGTAAAAGGGACTTATTTTTGTAATTGAAAATAGTATTAAACCCCACACCACTAATTAGGTTGCACATTACATCTATAAATAGCTCCATTACAGCCATGAATAACACAAAATATTCTCCAAGCTAGCTAAGCGAGTGTTTAGAAAACATGGTACCTAGACGCCAAAAATGTGTACCTTTAGTTCAAAAACGTGGTACATTTAGAAAAAAAGTGGTACCTTCACAAAATGGATTTATTTTTGCAATTGAAAATGGTATTACACCCCACACCGCTAATTAGGTTACACATTAGGACTATGAATAACACAAAATATTCTCCAAGCTAGCTAAGCGAGTGTTTAAAAAGCATTGTACCTGGACGCAAAAAAAAAGGACTTATTTTTGCAATTGAAAATGATATTAAACCACACACCGCTAATTAGGTTGCTTATTACATCTATAAACAGCTCCATTAGGGCCATGAATAACACAAAATATTCTCCAAGTTAGCTAAGCGAATGTTTAAAAAACATGGTACCTGGACGCCAAAAAAAAGCACTTAATTTTGCAAGTGAAAATGGTATTAAACCCTACACCGCTAATTAGGTTGCACATTACATCAATAAACAGCTCCATTAGGGCTATGAATAACACAAAATATTCTCTAAGCTAACTAAGCGGGTGTTTAGAAAACATGGTACCTGGATGCCAAAAAGTGGTACATTTAGTTCAAAAACATGGTACCTTTGGAAAAAAAGTGGAACCTTCGGAAAAGGGACTTTTTTTTGCAATTGAAAATGGTATTAAACCCCACACCGCTAATTAGGTTGCTCATTACATCTATAAACAGCTCCATTAGGACCATAAATAACACAAAATATTCTCCAAACTAGCTAAGCGAGTGTTTAGAAAACAAGGTTGCCAAATATAAATAAATAAGTTAAAAATGATAAGAAGGGTATTTTAGCCTACACAAATTCTAAACAAATTTTAGCGAAATATGCTCTACTTATGAAATTGAACAATTAATGAAGCAAATTCTAGTGCAGTAATTTTAGCGAAATATGCCCTACTTTCTCTTTCTTTGTGACCCCTGCTCGGGAACTCCAATTAATAAAGCAAATTCTGGTGCAGTAATTATTTTGAGATCCTGTAGTCTTCCAGACTGGAACCTGTTTCTCTAAAGTTGTAAGGTAGTCTTTGTGGGTTAACCTGTTTATTGTTCCTTCAATGTAAATCAGCTGTTTTTAAAATTTTCATGGTCTATATTTTAGCATTTTGCCTGCCACTACTTCTCAAGGTTCCAATGCTCATGCTCTTGGTCTGGTTTTGCTTTGTGTCCCTCCAGAAATTTCACTTAATTGATTTGGAAATCTTATCTGGAAACACGAACACAAGCAAGACTAATTTCTTTTAAATGCATTGGAAATTGTAATTTGCTGTTTTTCAGTTTGGGTGTTCATGGTATTAGTGACCCGACTCGACTATGAGATAATAGTAGCATTCTCTTTCCAAATGAAATTTTCTTCCTCAAGCTGACATGTTAGACAATTTCCATTAGCAAAAGATTCAAAGCTATGATGTCGTATAAGTTCAGAAATTAGAAAGAGAATTTTGTATTCTCCCGTTTGGCATGTTTCTACACAGAAATTTGTGGTGCACACGCAAAGCATCAACATTTTTCAGTTGGGATTTGGGAACCCTCAAACAAAAGATCCATCAACTACATAGAGCATCAACATTTTTCAAAGCTTCAAAAACCAGAACATAGTGAAATCAAAAGAGATCAATCGATCAATGAACAAACCCTAAAAAAGAATTAAGCAAACATGATGAACATAGATGAGCTCGGAAGGACAGCGATGGAAGCTCAGTTGTTGATTTTGATGGTGGTGATGCCTTTCCATTTGGAAATGACCATCTTCTGTACACCGTTTCTCATCTTCACCTCGATCCGGTCTTTCTCATTTCCAACATCAATGAGCCTGGGATGGCAACAAGCGCTAAACCTGAGCCTTGAGCCTAGGCGCGCCTTTAACAACACTGATGGGATTCACAATGAGAACTATCCGACTGAACCTCTGAATCAATTCTGCAAAACGAATGGCATGTTCAAACGTCATGGAATATGATATTACCCAATACCACTTATGATATGGATATGCAGCGCCATTTGTATTTCCTAACCACAAATAGGGAAAAAAATACTATGAAAAAAGCAAAAAACTCTGAATCACCTATCTAGATCATAACCGCCCACTCCCAAAACAAAGTCCATGTCGACAACGCCATATTTAGCCAGCTTTTACTGTGTCATCCCATTGGTATGCTGACAAAAGTGCACCAAAAATCCAAAAGCTGCAGAATCAATAGCATGCCAAGGAAAGATGAAAGAGAATTCACTGTTCATTTAACATAAAGCTATACCAGTAGAACATATATGACAAATTAAGCAACATACTAGCACAAGGCTATACCATAAACTATTACATGAATAAGTTGAATAATTGAACCTATTGAGCACTTTCAGTATTAACCCTAGTTTGTTATAGACATGTAAGCTTCAAATGCATTCTTAAATTTTCATTTCTATTTTTTTAATTTTATACCCCATTGACTGCACAAACAGATACCTATTGTGTAAAATATTGTAATTACTTTTTGTGTTCAGAAATTTTAAAATAAGAAATTTCACATAATGCAATTTTCAGTAGACGAGTTGACCATAACATTAATATAGAAAAATATATATCAAAACCAGACTAAAGTTAAATTTGGCTTGTCAAAAGGCAACAGCAAAACCCACAGCTGAACTAACCGAAGAACTGCCTAAACTTCAAAGAATCAATCATTATGCCGGAATCAAATAGATATAAAAATGCCAACAACCGTTTTACCACTTTCCACATTCATACAAGTTCAGTTTCTCTTGGAACAGTCTAAAAACACCTATAACCCTCCCAATTCAATGAGTAACCACATTTCAAAGATACAAGTAAAATCTATCTATGTACAAGGTGAAAGCCTAACTGAATTCGCTTTGTCAACACCTCCAATTCAGCCTCAGTCACCAAATCTATCTGCCAACATTATACAATGAAGAGCATAAAGATAGTAGAAAAAGAATTCATTGAATTCCAAAGGAAGTCATAATAAGTCAGCTATAGTTCCTGATTATTGAGAAGAAATCTAATATACCTTGTTTAAAATAATACTAGCAACCAATGAACCCTCAATATCCACCTCACCAAACTGCAATGAAAAACGAGAAAAAAGGCATAAGAAAGTGAGGTTTTACTTGAACCAGTAGTAGAACTGTAAAAAAATAAAAGTTCAGTTTTGAGTATAGACAAGAAATTGGCCTCTGGCCACTCTAGACTATGGGTTAATGTTCATGTTTCACAAACTTTGCAATAGAAATAACTTTTTTTTATTGAATATAGCAAACGGCATAATCCTTTGGTGGCTGATCAGTGTGCAGTCATTACCAGCATGAGACAATGCCAATAACATGCATATATGAAAAGTTTGACAACAACAACCAGGAAACATGGGGTTCCAAAATAGTGATCCACCAGAGTCTTACACCAATTATGTACTAGAATCAACATTTTGGTTTTGGTTATCTAAAGATGAGGTGTTTATAAGCAACGGTAAAACTGGTATACTGGCTTAGGGTTGAGAAATCTATGAAAAACTGATTTTTTATTTTTTATTTTTATTTTTAATTCTTCTACTTTGTGTGCTTGCTTTACATTGAGATTGGGAAAGTAAAAACAGAGAAGGTGATTGAGCTGAAAAGTTGTATTGCTCATGCCCCCACTGTTTGATTACTGAGAAATTGAAAGAAAGGAAAAGCAATTGATATATTGATTGTCAAGTTCATTTTTGTGGTTGGCAGAATTGGATTTTTATTTTGAAAATTTCGTTATATAGTTGATTGTTTAATTACAATTCGCAGAAAGGCAATTTACTTTTTTGTTGCAGTGATGAATAACATTATGTAGATTACCACTGTCACAAAGGGTTTTATTTTGGAATTCAAAAGCCAATTTTATCTTTTGGCTTAAATTAGTCGTTCACATTTGGACCAAATTTGAAAACTGAATTTTTTAAAACTTGGGCCAGCTTTGATCAACCCAAGAGCTTTTAAGTTTCAGATTTCTTGTTAAGCTTTTAAGCTCCAGATTTCTTGGTCATGTTTCACCAGATTTTAACTGAGCTATTAATTTTTTTTTACTTTCTTTTTGATGTTCTGGTTGGGATTTTATGGTTGAATTAGTGGAGTTTAAATAGGATTCATCCCTACAAATTTTCAACAGACTCTGTTTCAACAACCAGATTTTCTGATTTTGACGACGTGCCCAATTCAAGAGATTGAGCAGGGAGATAGGAAGAAAAACAGAGCTTGAACCGGGAGAGAGAAAACTAAAAATTGGACCGGGCTAGCTTTTGCAGAGGAATAAGAAGTTGCTGCCCTTTATATTATTATTATTTTCTTTGCTTCTACTCTTCTCCTATTTACTCCAGATTTTGGTTAAAATAACAGCACTAGTCTTTAAAGTTGCTGCTCTTAGTTTTTGGCTGTTGGTCTTCTCCTATTTACTGGACAATTTTTTTCCATTGTTTGAATTATAATCTTGCAATGTTGTAGAAGATTTCAAGTCATTTTTCTTGTAGTGCAGTGGTAGAAGTCTTTTTCACCCCTTGTTTAACAAGTTTTGAATTAAACATATTAGACTGACTACAGTAAAGTAAAACCGTATTGACTACAGTAAACCATAAACAAATTAGAAATTAATTATCTTAGACTTACCTAAAGCCATGGTGAGAAGGCTATAAACAATTTGCTAACCGCTGGCCCAAATTTGAATATTTGGAGCTGATGAATCCCTTCTCGAGCCTCCAAAAAAGATACAATATAAATAAGATTAAATATTTAATGGGGAATAAGTCGAATCAAAATTTACCAGTTTGGCATGCCGATGAGAAAGGGAAGGAAACATTTTTGTGACGGAGTTCCCAACTCGACCTTCTTTTCATCCCAAGCCTTCACATAACCATTAATTTCTCAATAATATTAGGAGAGGTTGCCAGAAAAGATGTCATGGAAACTGAAGAAGCAAAAATGAAACAAAAAAATGACATGATTACTCTTTTCCATTGTTATACAACCTAGAATAGAATCAATCATATATTCATATTGACAAAAGATTTAAATCTCCATTCCACCACTCATTTTATATCCATCTAATGTTTATCCAACACCATCAACATGACTTATCAAATAAAAAAGAAAAATAAAAAAACAGAGGAACCAAGATGGGGGGACAAAAAAAAAAAAAGCAACAAAAAATAATGGACGAGCAGAGATCTCAAAAGAACAAAGTCATATAACATACTCACATAAACAAACCGGAAGAACAAAAAAAAAAAAACCTAGATTGATTATATTAATAGATCTACAAATATAGAAACATGAGTTGTACGGAGAAATCAGATCAAAAGGTTCAAAAAAAGAAAAATAAATGATCTTTGCTTATATTCAGAAGATATTCAAGAATCATTGGCATATATGGTCTATTTTGATATCAGCAATGCTTTAAAGAAAAAAATTGTAGGTTAAGTTCTAAATAGAGACACTTTTCACTATTTCTTGCCCACTTAGAAAAGCATTGATTATAGAGGGAAAAAAATGCACAGCAACGCAATTGTAAAACTAGAGACTAGGGGGAGTAAAACTATGATCAAAACTCTTCCAGTATGAAAAACCACAAAGATAGGAAAGCAAAACTAGAAACTAGGGGTAAGGCTTGAAAAAAATTCACCAACAAAGAATTCCTACAGAAAAACTGGAACATTCCTAGGTCACGTAATAGAATTTGCAAAAACCAGGAATTAGATCCTCGTGCGCTAATGAATCAGAGTGATGATTTTCGCGATGATGACCAGTTCCAACAGAAGTTGCAGCAGCTGAATTTGCCATCAAATCACTTAAAGAATCAAGCATCCGAGATACCAAAAAAAAAAGGCAAGCGAGGGCCCAGGTACCTCTTTGACCAAGACCAAGAGTAAAACAGAAGATAAAACAACTAGCATGCAAAAAATCTCCAACTCTTTCTGGTCCAAGAAGCCCAAAACGCTTATACCATCTACCAAATATCTAAGTTCACCAACTAATTTAATCATGCAAACTTTAATCAGCGAGGAAACTTAATTTTGTGACTTTATAACCTTGCTTTTAGATATGGCCACCTCACAAGATCATTGTCATGGCATTTTTTCATTGTATCATTTGTACAAACACATGCAATACAAAAATCACTTTAAATCAGTAGGCTTCTTCAAGGGGGGAAAAAGTAGAAGAAAACCTAAATGACAACAATATAAAGTGGCTTTTGAATTCAAACAATCAAAGGAATTTATGATTTTGAGAAAAAGAAAATCAATTTATGATTCACGAAAGGAACTCCAACATATACTCACACATATCTGTTAGGGTTCAAGCTTTTCTGATTTTGTTTCAGAATTTACAAATGAAATTTCAGCCAAAGAAATTAAAATCAAATATGCTTACATGAGCGGATGTGATGAGAAACTCCAACACTCAAATGGCACGATAAATCAACCACCATCAGTCTTGTAGTGTGTCTATGACTCTGTATACACGCAAACAATCAAACACACACACCCACACCCACATATATATATATATATATAGATTTACATATGTAGAAACACATATAACACTATAATTGGATTATATCAGTAATCCAATTTGTCACGAAAGGCACGGAAATGGTTAGAGGATTGTTGATCGCTGCTGTTTACAGAGAAGGGGGGAGAGAGAGGTCGGCACGAATGGAATGTGAAAAGAGGAATTAGTAAGTGTACAAAAGGGTATTTTAGGCAATACATAAAATAGGAAGAAGGGTACTTTAGGCAACAGAAATATGAAACAGTATTTTTTCATGTGCCACCTCAGCCTTTGGGTCAAACACATTTTAGAGAAACTTTGAGACTTTGACTCAGCCTCTAAGTAAATATAGTGCCCTAACCTCATTTATATGTAATGATCCCTTGTTCTTTTCCCTTTTTCAAGTGATTAAGTTGTTGTATATTGTGTTACATTGTTTTAAGCTTTCTTGTGTTTTTTTTTTTTTTTTTTTCAAATTGAGGAAAATTTAGTTTTAAGCTTCTTGTGTTTTATTTTTTATTTTTTATTTATTGAAATCGAGAAGAATTTAGTTTTAAGCTTCTTGTTTTTTTTTTTTTCAAATGTACGCTGGAATCTGGATACAGAAATATTGAACATTCGGATTATTCCTGGAAGGTAGTTGGGAAGGAAATTATATCAGAGAGAGAAATGGAGAAGAGTCCTAATGTTTTGTTTTTATTTTATTCTTATGGGTAACTGATGGTGTTGTTCTTTTTCCCTTTTCAAGTGATCAAGTTATTGTATATTGTGTTACATTGTTCACAAGCCCAAACTCACTTACTGTCCTCAATTTATATTTATTCATTGATAATTTTTATGTAATGCATTTCCTTTTATAGAGATTAGGTCTGCAAGTTGGGCTGGCTCAACCTAACCCAGTCTTATTCCAACCTCAATCTGAAATCGGGCATCGGGCCTAGCTTTTCGAACCACGCTTCCACTGCTTCAGGGTCTTCAGCAATGCCCTGAGCTATCGGCAATATCGCTAATTTCATGATTAAGAGGTTTAGAGTGTCATTGGCAAAATGTTTAAAATACCCGTAGTGACCGGAAAATGTGCAAAATGTAAAATTAAACCCTAATTATAAGCCAAAAATAAAAATAATGATTCAGCCTAGAGTCATGCAGGTGATGCGTACTTCTTGGAAAAGCATAAAGGAGAGATGAAACTGATGATGGATGCCTGGATGGGGCTGAAGCTAGATGATGTTATTTGGCATCGCTATATGTTAGCTTGTTATTGTTCAGATCTAACGAACACACAACATGTCCACCATCACGAGAATTTAAAAATAATAATTGCCACCATAAAAATGAACTTACCATCAAGAATTAAGACCACCATAATATTGAGAAAGAAGAGAGAGAAAGAGAAAGAAGAGAGAGGAGAGAGAGGAGAGAGAAAAAAATAAAAAATAAAAAATTTCATAAGTTTCTTTTATTTATTTTTTATTTTGGGTTTTGGGTTTTGGGTTAGGTTCGGTTCGGGTTGAGTCCGAGCCAAACCTGAACATGTCTGGGTTTTGACAAAACCCAATCCAATTTAACTCGATTTGTGAATTTAAAGTTCAAATTTGAAAATTTTTAGATTGGGTTTGGGTTGGGTTGGGTTGAGTTTGCCCGCCCAAGTTGCAGCTCTAACAGAGACCATGTATAAAAAAAAGGTCAAATTCAAGAACTTGGACTCCAACAACACTTTACAAAAAAATAAGGTTGTCCATTTGTGTAATCTCGATAAATTATAGAAGGTTGCAGTTTTTGTCTTTGTTGTTTACTATTTAAGGCAAGGTAGTGTTTGGAGGAGCCCTTCAAGGAGTTGGCACTTTGATACTGAACAAGTAACGTTGGAGTACATGGAGAGATTGAATAGTCAAGTTCAAAATTTACTGAAAATTAATTCAAAATTCAAACAATCATAACTTTCAATTTGGTTGGAGTTCACACAACCCATGAGATACCATGAAAAGCTTGAGACAAGTTTTTTGCCAACCTCAATTACGAGATTATAGTTGATTTCAAACTCGAAATTAAGTCGTTTCAATCTCATGACTGAGGATATGCCAACTTTTTGGCGGATGATATGATAACTTAACTTTTTGTATTTTGAATGCAATTTTGTTCACCTTTTTGGCGAATGATATGATAACTTAACTTTGTGTATTTTGAATGCGATTTTGTCAAGCAAATACATGGTAGGTTTGAGAGAAAAAATAGGAAAAAATTATTTATAATAAACCTAACAGAACACTTTTGATAAACGTTTTAGGAGTTGACTCTTTTTCTTCAATAAAAACCTAAATTTCTCAATCAATTTTTATGTGTGAGTACTTAAATAAATACATAATCCACTTAAAGTTTTTTAAAACTATATTTTGAGTCCTCTTTCTATTGAATAAGAATCCTAATTTCCTCAACAATCTACATGTGTGAATAAATTGATAAATTGATCAATAATCTTCATATTTATTATAATTATAAAGTCGAGAGTGCATAAGGTGTGCATATATATGTGTGTGTGATAAAAGTAGAGAAAAGAAAATTAAAGAGAAACTTAATTTAATGTTCGTTCACAATTCTCCTTCAACGAATAATTCATACAAATGCGTAAATACATTATTCATCTTTAAACTTATCTGCTTCCTTAATTTAACTATAACTTAAATACGTTAATATTTCAACAAGAAAGAAATAGTGTAATATCTATTAAAATTAAAGACATATCCGTCTTTCAAATTCGAGATACATACCACGAATTTTTGAGCCGTGTAGCATTGCTCCAAAACATACCAGATTTATATGTATGAAATCTCAATGAGAAAAAACGACAAAATTAAAGCAGTCTACTGGATTGAAGCAAACTTAACATAGACTTATGCTGAAACCACATTGCTAAACTCAAACACAACCAAGCCGAGTTGCTCCAGACCTTACACTCACTCCCACCATCTTGCAAACGAGTCGCTAACCTAAAAAACAATTGCTTCGCAAACACCTTACTCCCTTCGTAGTGATTTAGTACTCTTCCAAAAAATATCAGTTGTCAAAATGTGGGTGAGTAGATAAGTATTATCTATAAATAAAAAAAAGAAAAAAAAAAGAAAAAAGAAAAAGAAAAAGTGGACAAGTATTGTCCAGAAAGAAATATTCCATAAGTATTTAATGTCTATCAAGATGAATTAACACAAAATGATGAAATGTATATCCAGATTGGCCAAACAATGGTTAAACCATCATGCATAATTTTGTACCAATCCAGTTGTGTCACGATAGGGTAAAAAATTTAATTAAGCTATGTTAGGGAGCACTACATAAGCGTAAAGCGTTTCAAAATTGAAATCAGAGAAGTTTTATTCAAAATTTAAATTAAATTTTCTATAATTTCAATTACAAAAGAATTATTGCTTCCAAATGCAACATTATTTTCAACCATCTTTGTCACAAAACAAGGGGGTTACCGAGTGCAACATTATTTTCAACTATTCAAGCTTTATAAACTCTATATTATGTTGGCTCGTATGATTCATTAGGTTCCCTGAGGAAGGATTGTGATCCCCAACTAAATGGCTCTGTCAGTCTGACCACAAATTAAGTAGACTTGAAAACTCAAATTTGTATACGTGTGTGTGTGTGTATATATATATATATATATATCTCTATATTGCAGTTACTATATATTATGTAACTTGAA